ATGTTGAGTGAACTTCAACAGGGCCTCCGTGAGGCTCTTCCCTCTGAGCTTCTCTCCCTGCCAGGCTGCCTCCCTCTTCCCAGAAGGCTCTTCTTCATCGGAGATGGGCCCGTTTAAACCTCCTGACAGAAGACCGGTAGCAGGGCGGGCCTGTTTATATTTAAATCATTTTTTCTTTACTGTCAAGTCTCAGTTCACTCAAGTGTCCCTCAGCGATGAATGAACCCTTGGCCTGAAATCTGAAACGCTGCGCTCGTCGCTGCCATGCTTATGGGCTTCTTTCTGTTCTTAGCGGGGACCTTCCTTCCTGGAAACCGCGATCCTCGAAAGGAGAGGGTGCAGCTGCAGAATTCCCACGTGCTAGAAACTCCCGGGGAAGAGACAGGAGCCGGCACCCGGGAACTGAAGCTGCATGGGCCACCCGCGGGCGTGAGGGCCTCCGGGGTCATGGTCAGACTCCAGACCCGCTTGGGAGGGGCTGCTCTGTCCTGTCCAGGCATGCCTGGGGACCTGGGGAAAGAGTTGGTCTGTCCTAAGAAGGGTCCTTCTGGCCGTCCAGTGACTGCATTGTGAGGTCCAGAACTAGGCCCTCCTCCTCGGGTGCTTCAGGAGCATCTGAAATGTGCTGGAAATCACACAGAAGGCTCCAACTCCCCATGCGGGGTCCGGTCACATAAATCTGTCTGGTAGTTGCAATGAGGACGTCAGTTACCGCGCACGGGCAGACCTCGGAGGGATGGATGAGGACGGATGCTGTCAGTAGGTGTTGTAATTACCAGTGCTCACTTGGATCCCCCACCTCGCCATGATGGAGGCATGCATTTTGCAGGCCAACAACCCTCCACGTTTTGTGGGAAAGCTCCGGTCGCTGAGACAGACAAGCAGACAAAAGGCGTGGATTTCTTCAGCGCTTCCCGCAGCCTGGTCTCTGAGAGGCTGCACGAAGCCTCAGCCCTGAGCCCCCTCTCAGGACACACAGAGGGTCAATTCAGACGTGTCCTTGTTTGAGAACTGACTGTAGGGAGGGAAGGGAACCCGCAGGCAAGAGCCGGAAAAGAAACACGACAAGGGGCAGCTCCAGCCGCCACAAACATCCTGAGGGTAAAGGAAACCAAGGGGCTGCTCCCAGCTCACCGCCCACAGGGGCAGACGCGGTGGCAGAAACCACAAACCCCACCCCGTGTGCCAGGCACCATCGGGCCCCTTACGTGAGCCAAGCCCACGGCCTCCTCACAGCTGTCCCACAAGACCAGCACCATCATTTCCAGTCTCAGAGGAGGATGCTGAGGCCCAGGGAGGGCCAGCCCTCTCAGGGGGTGTGGGTGAAGCCAGCCTCGAACCCAGCACCTCGGCGGGAGGGTAGGGGGTCTGTGAGGTTCTGGGCCATTTATATTTGAACCCGAATGACAGCATGTGTTAATTCTGGGTGCTGGGTGCCCGTCTAGCCACCATATTTTTATCTGTATGCACACGCATGCATGCACACACATGCTTTTATATTTTTTTTGGTGAGGAAGATTGTCACTGAGTAACATCTGTGCCTATCTTCCTCTATTTTATATGTGGGACACCGCCATAGCATGGCCCGGTGAGCAGCATGTAGGTCCACACCCAGGACCCAAACCCACGAACCCCAGGTCGCCGAAGTAGAGCACACGAACTTAACCACTACGCCACCGGGCCAGCCCACACGTGCATTTTTTAAAAACCTATAATGTATAAATGATGCTTGGCTGGGCAGGTGCAGGTCTGGCTTGGTGGCACCAGTGGGAGCCAGCAGGTGGGTGGGGCAGAGGGAGGGGGCAGGTTAATGACATTGGGGGAGACTCAGAGAATGTCCCAGGTCTCGGTGGCCGGGGGGCCCTCCGCCATCCCTGGTCTACCTGGACCCCTCCTGCTTCCCCTACCCTAGCCCCTGCTTCTGGGCTAGCGACAGCACCTGGGAGCTGAGAAGACAATGAAGAATCATTACCTTCTACACCACCTGGAAGTTTCTTTAATGTAGGAAATCCAGGCCCTTCACCCCTACACTTCAGCTCAGCCACGGAGCGAAGCGGGGAGAAGGGAGGGAGGACGGCAGCCCAGAGGCAGCAGGACCTGAGGCCGAGCCTGTGGGGAAGGCGCGCTCAGCCTCAGAGCGGCCGTGGAGCAGCTAAAACACGGCCCTGCGCCCAGGGCTCAAAGAGCTCCTGATTCTGCAGGTCCAAGGTGAGGCTGAGGGCCCATATTTTTAACAAGGGTCACGGGGAACTCTGACACACAGCGAGAGGTCTGGAAACCGCAGCCTGAGGGGTCTTAACTAGAAAGAGCTATCAACAGAGGTAAAAAGATTTCAGAGCCCTTTTCCAAGCCAGGGCAACTAGGATGTCTGTAGGAAGGAGGGCCAATGTGCTGGGGCCGCCCAGTGCAGCCAGCATCTCGCCAGCAAACCCAGCCCAGTGAGGACCGGCCACTGCTCTGACTCCTGGAGCTTCCCTCTGCCTCCGCCTCGCTGAGCATCCACCTCACCAGGGGCCCTCTCTGATCTCAAAAGGCCCTGGTGCACTCTGTCAGTCATGCTCTGACCCAGCAGTCCCCGTGCAAGAATTTATCCTACAAGCGTCCTGGCACATGTGGGCCAAGACATGCAGACAGAGGCGTTCACGGCACGGCTGCTGTATCAGCCAAAATTTGGAAACAGCCTGGATGCAGCAGACAGGCCAACTGTGCTGGGCCCGGCGGAATCATGAAGGAGCGCGATGCGAGCTCCCATGTTCCACAGGGAACCCCTTGAAGACACTCTGTGAAGTTAAGAAGAGAAAGGAACTGCTGAGCCATCTGTAGCCATCATTTAAGCTTTAAAAAGAGAGGCTCACGCAGGTGCATTCAAGAAAGTGTAACTGGAACCTTCTGGGAAGGGAGCTGGGGGCATGGGACTCAAAGAAGAGGCTCATTCACACTGGGCCTTTTCCTTTGTTCCTTTTGAATTTTGTACCAAGAGGTTTTTCATCTTTTCAAAAAATAAATCAATATGTGTCGTATAAATAACAGGGTCTGGGCCGGAGGACCTCAGACACCAGCCCTGGGGCTCTCGCCTGGCGCTGGGAAAGCCACTAACTCCAACCCGCCAGACTGGGGCCTGTTGAGGGGTGAGGGACCGGCACACGCCCCCTCAGGATGCGGTGGGGTGGATGGGTTTTGACAAAACTGCATATGAAATATGTAGGATGCTGCTGCCATAGGTAGACCGACAATCTGAGCTGCGCACAAAGTGCTGTAGTTTGCAATTTCCACCATGTGGTGGCGATGTTTTGAAAAGATCATTGCCATTATATGCTTACCCAATAAAACAAAGGGTCTCATTGTCATTGGGTTCTTAACAAGTCATGTCTTCTTCTCTTTCATCTGCAAACGCAAGAGATGGGAGGGCCAGAGGGATGTCTGAGCTTGGCCGGCAGCAGCTACAGTCTGGCCAGGACAAGATGCTTGGAGTGCCTGCATGCCTCTAGGGCTCACAGTGGTGCCAGAACTGACAGTCTCTGTGTTTTGGGGTGACTCTCCATCCCAGGCCACTTGATGCTTGCACCCTCACCTCGTGCTCCAGCCAGGCAGTGTGTCTGGGCCTCCTGGAGCTGTCCTTGCTGACCTGGTGATTGCCTGGCACAGAGCTGGTGCTGACATCGATGTCCCCCGGCTCCCTCCATCCTGACCTCAGCCCTCTGCGGGCTCTGACTCTCCCACAGGCCCAGCGAGGTGGCCTGGCCACGGGAGAGGCCACGTGGTGGCCATGATAGCCACCTCCTAGCATCTGTGCTCCAGGCAGCAGGTCCTGTCATTGTGCCCTTTGTACAGAGCAGGGGACCTGAGGAGGGAGGGTAAGCGCCCAGGACAGGCTGGCACGCATTTTCCGTAAAGGGCCAGATGCTAAGTATTTTAGGCTTTGTGGCTCAGTCTCTGCCACAGCTGCTCTGCGACAGTGTGTGGATGCACGTGCTGTGTCCTAACTACTGTGTTTACAGACGCTGAAATCCAAATTCCACATAGTCTCACAGGTCACAAAACATTTCTCTTCTTGTGATTTAACCAGGAGGCTGGTAACTCAGAGGAAGCAACTGGCCCCAAATAACCTGCCTCCCTTCCTCCACTTGCTCTGGGCAAGGACGGGGAGAGCTATAGCCACGAATCCGCAGCCTCGGGCCTTTCAAGCCCTCTGGGAGGGCATCCGGCCCTGGGTCATTCACCCTCGCCTCACACTGCCCTCTCCCAAATCCTCTCTTCTTTGCATCCCCTCCGGAGCCCGTGCCCACCTCCTGGTGGCTCCTGGGTGGGCGAGAGGAGAGAGCAGAGGTTATGGCAGAGAGGGAGGGCAGTGGGAGCCAGTGGACAGCCCACCTCGGGGCTGGATCTGGTGCTGAGCAGGTTGTGTCCCCTGAGCAGCCCCTCCTAGAGGCCCCCTTCAGCCACCAGCACAAGCCCAGCATTCCCCACAGGCTGCAAGGACTCCAAGAGCTGGGTGTTGGGCGGGGGGCCATTTGGGGAACCCCCCATCTCTGTGAGCCTGCCCCAGCGGTTCTGAGGTCGGTTATAAGAGCTGATCCCCCACGCCTGGAAGCTCTATGCCCAGGGCCTGGCTGTTTCCTTTATCCAGCAGGGGTGCTACCACTTCCATCTGGGTTCAATTCCACTGTGGACAGCTCAGGAGGAAGGAGCGTTCTGCGGACGGTGCCACGGGACGAGGCCCCTCGGCACACGCGCTGGGAACCAGGGCTGCTCCCACATGGCCGGGGCTCCCGTCTGCAGCTCACCTGTGGTGGGAGACACTCTCACGACACCTCCTCACCTCCCCCAGGGCCCCCCAAGAGCTGTCTGTCTTCCTGAGCTGCCTGGAGAGCCCCTCGGAGCCGCAGGACCAGCTGGGTGGGCACTTCCACAGAGACCTGGCTACACATGGCTCTGGGCAGACCTCGGGGGCCCAGGAAGGTGTGGAGAAGTGGGGAGGGGCAGGGGCATGGGGGGCCCACCTTGCTCTTCTCCTGCTGCAGCTCAATCTGGATGTCGGTGAGCTTGGCCCGCAGCTCCTCATTGGCGGCCTGCAGTGCGGCGAGGACTTCAGCCTTGTCCCCTTTGCCTCGGCCGCCTGAGCCCTTCTTGGACATGGTGAGGGTGGCCAAGGGCCGCCTGGGCGGGTCGCTCGTCTGGGCTGGGCTGTGCACACCAAGCTCGGGCAGCTGTCACCTCGCTGCGGCTCTGCTACATGGTCTCACTCACCTGGAGGGAAAGCACAGCTGGTGAGGAGTCTGCACTCCTGCCACCTCACCGGGAGCTCGGGGCCATGTGCGGGGCCGGTGGGGGTGAGGCTGGCCTCCCACCTGCCCTGAGGATGCCAGCCCCAGACCACAGAGGCCGTGTGCCCTCTGTACAGCGCTCCTCACAGGGACCCCATGTGCAAGAGTGTGTCCCCATGCCTCGCAAATTACGGGCACTCGATAAACATTTATTCCTTTCCCCTTTGGAATGAGAGACTGGGGACCCAACTTTAAGGGCTGAATTTGACATACAAGTGTGTGTGAGCCTGATGGCAACAGCAGGTGTGAAACACGAGCTTCTCAGACAGTGAAGGGAGTGGAGGCTGGGCTCCGGGGTTCCTCTACGGGACCCATAAACATCAGCCCACGTGCCTGAGCCAACACAGCACGCAAATGCACACCCCAGGCACCCACAGAGCCGAGGCCCACCCTGGGCCGGCTCCTCCATCACCCAGCACGTCAATTCCTGAATTCCCGCTGCCTCCTGAGGCCTGGGCCTCATTTCACTCCTCACATGGCCCAGCGCCCAATGCCCAACACACCGCATGGGGAACAGGGGGAATCGACCCGCTGTGCAGGCACCATGGAGTCAAACAGGAGGCGGGGCCTGAGTCCGCTCCACACCTGCTCCCTGGGAAACCCTGTGCCTCAGCTGTCTCACCTGCACAGAGACATGCAGAATGTCCCTGCCCCACGAGGCCTCCATCCTGTGCTTTAGACGCCAGGAGAGTGGTCCAAAGAAGTGATCCATGCCACAGAGGTGTCCTGTGTTCCCCACAACTGTCCCCCACCAGCACCCCCTGCCGGTACCCACCCCAGCTGACAGGCCTGGGAAGGCACCTTCAAGGCCTGGGTCATCAGGCCACAGATCAGCCTTTCAAGCATGAGGAAGGGGCTGGAGGGACCAGACCACAGGTTGGGCACAGCCCACAGGCATTGCAGTGGCATCGTCACCTCCAGGGGACACACTTTCCAGAGAAGTGCTCATGGCCTTTCTCTTCTTTCCCAGCTCGGTTCCTGAGGCCTCGTGATACAGAACCAGGAAAAGGCCACAGAATGGGGGGAGTTGGGGGGTATTGGGAAGGCCCAAGATTGACGCACGCGTGAGAAGAAGGAACTGGGTAGAAAGGCAGGAGGAGCAGGAGGGCAGAGGCCCCCGCTCACTGGTGTGAGAGTGAGAAGAGAGATCTGAGAGAGCGGCTCCTCTCAAGGAAGAGAAAGGGAAAGAGAGGAGAGAAGACGTAGAGATGTCTTGTTACATGTTGGCAATGCACTGCCCTGGAGAGAGCTGGTAGCAGGTTCTTAAATGGCTTTGAATGAAGCGTTACAGAGAGTCAGCCGCGGGCACTACCTGGATGGCCGAGCCTCTCCCGCCTTCCTCTTCACAGCCCCTGTGCACTCTCAGGGGGTGAAGAACTCATTTGGGAAAGGGACGGGGTCAGGCCCTAGGCTGTCAATTTGGGGTATCTTTTCTACGTCACCATTGGTGACCATTTTGTGAGCTTTCCGCCTCCTTCAAGTCTTCGCAGAGCCTCTGAGGGACCCGTGGGCTCCTGCTTGCAGCATCTCCAGGCCTCCGGCTCCTGCTCCTAAAGGCAAAGCCACATGGCGATGGCTGTTGGGACAGCGCCTGTCCCCAGGCGCCAAGCCCCGCCCCACTCACCGCCGCCCTTGAGGCCCTCGTGCGCTGCCACCAGGCTTCTCAGCAGCTGCAGAGCTCTCTCGCCTGGCGGCCGTTAGGGCACAGGCGTTCAGAGAAGAGGGACATAAAAGGTGGCCAGCGGGACAGCTGTCTTCCACACGGCCTCATTCTTGGAAACAGACAAGGCAGCTTCGGAAGAAGAATCCATTTTAAAAGGGCGTGGGGCTAATATCCTCTGACCCCACACAGACCTATCACACGAGCTAGTTTCTAATCATTCACTGTTTGCAGCATCTAATAGTTAATTTTTGGATGGCTTCAGGCAGCGGTGAGTGGTGGGTTTCCATTTTGGAGGAAGAAAAGCATAGAAAGCTAAAACGTTTGTCTAAGCAGAGAAAAAGCCCCCTGGCTCTGGCCTCCAGTCGTCCAAAGCTCTCAGGGGGCCGGAGTCTCTCCCAGCAAGGGTGCGCCCATGCCCTGTTCTGCTGGTGGGTTACCTCCAGATCGCACACTCCAACACAGGAGCCACTCGCCGCTCTAAGGGGCACCTGTGCGCAGAAGCTGGCCCCACCCACCAGAAGATCATCACCAGTTCCGGTCCACGGAGCCTCCGCTCACCCTGAGGGTGAGAGGCAGAAATCCAAACTAGGCCGAGTGTGCAGGGCTGCATCCGCTCACACCAGAGGCAAGGGCACAGGGACCTTGAGCAAGGCCAGGGTACCCCAACTCTGGCCGTCACTGGCAGGAAACCATCTGTGAAGGGGCAGAAAGCTCAGCGGGAGCATCATGGGACCTATTGGACGGTGCCTGAGGCCGATGGGGGGTGGTGCGGGGGAAGCGTCCATCTGCTCATGAAGGTGGGAGTCCACGGACCCTGGCAGGGCTCCCCGGGGCCCTGGGACCCCAGCAGAACCCCAGGCTGCTGGCCCCTCTCTCCCAGGAATGGGTACCTTCAGGTGTGAGCTCATTATTGTTTATGAATTACATTAATCCCTCCTAACGGGCCTGCCCTCCACTCACGTCCTAGGCCTGCGAGCTGCCCTGCTCTGTCTGCACCTCATGGCCAGAAAACCCAGGATTTTCATGAAAATGACTAGGAGAAATGATTGCCTACCGTTCAGATACCCGGGTGGAGAACTCCACTGGCCTCAGGAGTGGGTGGGAGCCACCCTGCCCGGAGCCGCTGCGGGTCCGTCCTCCTGATAAGGTTCTTCAAGGGTCCGGCCTGGGGAGGCCCTGGGGGGCTCACTGGTGCTTTTGGTCAGGGGCTTGGCACTGCCAGACCCACAGTCTTTTGTGAGCAGGCCTGGGGCCCCACCTCTGCCCCCCAGTCGCCCCAGGCCCAGGCTCATGAGCGTCTTCCCTGGATCATGGCCCCAGCCTCCTGACCGCCCTCCCTACATCCTCTCTCGATCTTCTCCAATCTGTTCTCCACAGCGGCCTCCCAAGCAACCATTTCAAGACACCGCCTGGCCCCATCCTCCTGCCTCCCCCACCTAAAACCCTCCATTCTCCCTGCCAGATCTCAGTGACTCCCATCGCCTGTACGGCCTGCCTGCTGCCTTCCACCCACGCCATTATTCACTCAATGTTTTCTGTAAATGGATGGGCTCATTATTTTCTACTTATTTTTAAAGGAAGCTCTGGGGGCCTTTCCTGGATGGAGAGCCAGCATCTCCAGGCTCTAAAGAGGTAACTAACTGAAGGGTAAGATGGAGGCAGACAATCCACGTCTGGGTTTCCAGACAGACACCTGCCTCACAACCCTGAACCTGGACCCCCCATGGTGGATGACAGCAGGGGGGCCCTCCCCTCCCCCTGTCACCTGCAGCCTGGCCTCCCAGTGCCCCCCATGCCACCTTTATTTACTCCCACAAGGCTCAGTGCAGACACCGTGGCCTCTGGCCTGGGCTCAGGACCCTGCCTGTCGCTGCACCCCTGATCCCGGGGCTGAGCTGCCTCCACTTGGCACTGGCCACGGTGCATTCAGAGTTTTCCACGTAGCAAGGGCCCTCCAGTCTTAGCCTGGCATCTCCCCAAAGGCAGAGTTAATATTTTTCTCCAACACCAATTTGGGGACAAATACATTAAGTATGATAACTTCAATTCTAGGCAATGAATGGGAACAGAGTTGATCTCCCCAGAGCCCGCTGAGGGCACCGGGTGGGTCCCGCTCACCAGCACCTCAGGCTGGGGTTCCAGGGGGCTCCTCCTTCCTGCCCGGCTGCACGTCCTCCTGGAGCACTTGATAGGATTACTGCACGAGGAGAGGAAAAGGGGATGTCCACGTCTCACCCCGCATCCTATTTGTGCTCGGTGATATCAGCTTTAAGCCTCTGGCTGATGAGAGCTTTGGTAGACGGAGGTACCATGCGTCCCCAAGATGTCACTACTGACATTAGGAGGAGACGGGGCTTACGTAAGTGATGGAGAGCTGGGGTGCGCCCAAGAAGGCTCCAGGGTCTCCTGCTCTGTTTTACTTGCTACTCTGCATCCCATAGCTTCGCCCCCCTCCCCACACCCAGCACAGCACCGGCTGTAATGATAGTGTCCAGGTTCACGGGTGCTGCCTCTGTAACACATGCTCCCACGCCTTTCCTGCCACCCTGGGAGGCAGAGGGCCGGATGCAGGGGAGACACAGAGGCCGCGGGAGTGTGAGGTCTCAGCCAGCACCGCGGCCCAGAACCCCACCTCGGGGCTGCCAGGGCTTCAGCTGCGCAGGAGCCAGTGGCTTGAGCCAAGGGCTCTGGAAGCCAAGTGGCAAACCCTGCATCTCATTCTGGGCTGTGGGGACCTGCAATTGGCCAACAGGGTGCAGGCCTGAGGGGACTCCAGCAGTACTGTCTGAGAAGGACATCGTGGGGTGCCCACTGGACAGAACCCTGTGACTGCTCTGTCTGCCCAGGTTGGGCCTGGATCAGGATGGGGGCCAGCAGGGACCAAGACGGGAGCCATGCATTCAACAGACCAGGTCAGGATGGGGCCTGCAGCCAGCAGGAGAGCCAACGGCTCTCCCTCCCCCGAGGAGACCCTCGGGCCCACCTCCAAATCCCAAGCACAGAGCCTGAGCTGCCCCTCCAGCGTGGCCCCTACAGCTGCACGAATCCTGCTGACGGTCCCAGGCCAGAGCAGACTGGGGCCACCTGCACAGAGACCCAGGTACTGCGGGGTCAAGATGGGGACCACAGGGGACACGCCTGTCCCTCCCTTGGGAGCATTAGAGCAGCTGGCTAAGTACAGACACATCCTCAGGAGCTCCACTTCTGCCCGTCCTCCTCTCAGCCACCCTTCCCAAAGGCAGCCAACGCCCCACCTCCAG